ATCTATCTATCTATCTATCTATCTATCTATCTATCTATCTATCTATCTATCACTGTATTGTTTGTTGTTGAAAATCAATAAAAACATATACTTTAAAAAAAAGCTGAATCTTAGAATACTTGTTGTACGTAAAACACTTGGGAGTGTGTCTGCTGCAGACTAAAAGCTGCCAGGTGTCCAGGAGGGTTTAAGGATTCCCCGGCTCAAATATTGCATACCAGCATGAGCCGGTTTGCTGGTCAGGACATTCTGCAGGGCGCTCGCTCTGGTTTACTACAGACTCAGAGGATTTCCACAGTTACCTCCTGCATATTTCATATGGAGAACTGGAGCAAAACAAAGATCTGGTGCAGCCTGAAGGAAGCTATCAACCGAATTGGCTCTGTATAAATTTAGACTATTTTTTTTAAATCCATTGAACTGGAAATGACTAGATGATCTTTGGATTTGGATTAAAATTGGCTTGAAGTGGATTGCAAAAAACTAAAAACCATACATGTTGGCTAGCTGTTAGCAAACTGTGTAGCTACCTGTTAACTTGGTGTGAACAAACTGTGTAGTTAACTGTTAACTAGCTGTTAGCAGACTTTGTAGCTAGCTGTTGACTGTCTGTTAGCAGACTTTGTAGCTATCTGTTGACTAGCTGTTAGCAAACTATGTAGCTACCTGTTGACTGTCTGTTAGCAAACTGTGTAGCTACCTGTTAACTAGCTGTTAGCAAACTGTGTAATTACCTATTAACTAGCCGTTAGCAAACTGTGTAGTTACCTGTTAGCTAGCTGTTAGCAAACTGTGAAGCTACCTGTTAGCAAACTGTGTAGCTACCTGTTTACTAGCTGTCAGCAGACTGTGTAGCTACCTGTTAGCTAGCTGCTAGCAGATCTCTTCATATGAAGAATCAAAATTTTCATGGGAATTGTATTACAATTCTCTTCCCAAATGAACTGGAAACGATTGGGTTATTATGATATTTTTAAAGGATTTGGGTTGTAATTGGCTTTAATTGGATTGCACGAAGCCTGAAAACCACA